CATCGTCTTTGGACTTCCCGTCCTCTTGTGGACCTTCTTCTTCGTCTGCAATGACAAGACCGGATGTCCCGCACCATCCACTTTGAGCCCTCGCACGTTGACCTTGGAGAAGCTCAAGCTCGAGACGCCATGGCCCGCAGATGGAATCTGGGGCTTCTGTAGCTGGGAAGCTTTCGGCTGGAGCATCGCCTATTACTTTGTGAGCTTGGTCTTGTACCGCGTTCTCCCTGCTCAAGAGATGCTCGGTACCAAGTTGGTTCAATCTGGTCGCCCATTGAAGTATCGCTTCAACTGTAAGGTTTCTCAATTCAAACACTCAATGAATCCATCTAACCCACGAACAGCTTTCAACGCCACAGTCTTCCAGCTCGCCGGCCTGGCTATCGGCACCTACCTCCAAGGCGCCGACTTCGCCGTCTGGACCTACATCTCAGACAACTACCTCCAGCTCCTGACCGCCAACACCATCCTCGCCTACATCATCACCGTCTACGTCTACGTCGCTAGCTTCAGCGTGAAACCTGGCAACCCAGAGCTACGTGAGCTAGCCGTCGGCGGCAACACCGGCAGCCTCATCTACGACATCTACATCGGCCGCGAACTGAACCCCCGCATCACCCTGCCCTTATTCGGCGAGGTTGACCTCAAAGCCTGGCTGGAGATGCGCCCCGGTCTCACCGGCTGGGTCATCCTCAACCTTGCCTTCTGCGCAAAGCAGTACCGCACATACGGCTACCTCTCCGACAGCATCCTTCTCACCACCGCCGTGCAGGGCTACTATGTCCTCGAGGGCCAGTTCATGGAGGCCGGCTTGCTAACCATGATGGATATCACCACCGATGGCCTGGGCTTCATGCTGACGTTCGGTGACATCGTCTGGGTGCCCTTCCTCTACTCCACCCAGACCCGCTACCTCTCCGTCTACCCCGTCCACCTGGGCTGGGCTGGCGTCGCCAGCATCTTTGCCGTCTTCGCGACTGGCCTGTATATCTTCCGCTCTGCGAATAACCAGAAGAAGGTCTTCCGCACGCAGCCTGATCACCCGAGCGTCAAAGATTTGCCCTTCATCCAGACGAAACGCGGTACTAGGCTGCTTACTGGTGGATGGTGGGGCAGGTCTCGTCATATCAACTACTTTGGCGACTGGCTTCAGGCTTCGCCGTTCAGCTTGCCGACTGCCGTGTCCGGCTACCAGATCCTCACTGCTGGCAGCGCCGTGTCCGGTGCTATCACGATGATTGACGGGCGTGAGGTCGTTCAGGGCGCTGCTCGTGGCTGGGGCATGGTCTTTACGTACTTTTACGTGCTGTACTTTGCCATCTTGCTTATTCATCGCGAAGGGCGAGACGATGTTGCTTGTACCGAGAAGTATGGCGAGGATTGGGAGAATTATAAGAAGATTGTTAGATGGAAGATTCTGCCCGGGGTCTACTAGGGGAGTCGAGTAAGGTAGGTGATGCAGCCGTCAATTTCACCGACCAGTGAATACATTGATGTCATCAATCAAGCTGGAGGTGACATAATTTGGGACTTGGACTGCGATTTGCATTTGAACTATGTTTGTGTATGCCTACTTTAATATGTAGCACCGTATTGGAGAAGCATAGCCTCGATTTTCCCCGAGATCTCCTTGATGTTTCTCAGGCGGTGGCCGACGACTGCCTCAAAATATTCTCCACAGCCGGAGATAGCCTGTAGACAAGGCTGTTGGGCCTCATATTGACATATTTGGAGCGGTGTCATACCACTTAGATGATCGCATGCACGTAGTATGGTGTGCTCTGGCCGATTCATCGCAGCCGGATTCCCTCTAGCGGTTGGTTTCGCTCCATTCTCGAGCAGAAGTTTCACCCCATCCTGATCCAAACAAGCGACAGCGATTTGTAATGGCGTCACTACGAAGTCTGGTGCATCTGTTTTCGCACCCAGGTCCAGCAGGTCCTCAAGTCTGCATATCGCATCACAGGCTCCACCGACAAAGTCGCGTTCTATGAACGACTCATGACCATGTAAAACGACAGAGTACGGCAGAAGACAGCGTAGGTCGATGTCTTTGTGCCAATTCTTCAAGACATGTAATGATGCTCCTTCCATGGAAATATCCGAGGCTGTGCCCACCATGAATCCGCTAAGTGGAAGGTGGAATATTTGTACAATGTTTCCTTCGTCGAATCGGAAACCCATGCGTACTGTAGTCCCCAGAAGATTCCTTCCACAACCTTCTTTGCGTAGCATGAAGTCAGCTAGCTTGAAAGCTTGCATTTGAAAGAAGTCGACCAAAATCCGAATCTCAGGCTGTAATGGTGCATAGAATACAACTTGCGTGGACGAATAAGCACACCCGAGCCCGTAGTCCGTGATGAGCCTTTCCACGATATAACGCCCGTTTTTTAAGAGTAACAAGTTACGAAACGTGTCAAAAGGATGTGTTCTTGAGTGGTGCGGAGTTGTAAGCATGAGAACAAGCTCCTTATTCTGTAGGAGATACTCTTCACAGTCATTGATCATTTTTATGGCTGCGAAAGTGCAATATGTTCCAAAGTCGACCCGCCATGCGAGGGTCCGAGGAATTTCCTCGTTCTCAAGAGTCCTAATCTCGTTATTCTTGTACTGAAATGCCTCTGAGAAAATGGCGCTCGCTCGTTCGCTTAGGGCTGTGGACTTGTCTAGGCGAAAACAATATTTCGTACTAAAACGGATCGATGTCCCCAGATATTCCATGACAGTGTAATGCGAAAATGAAATTTCCGGTTCTTCATCAAGGTAAAAGTCGTCTGCCATGACAGTTATGAGACATCCGCATAATTCGCGAAGAAATTCGACATCGTAGCGGTAGTCTTTTGCACACCGGCTTTGCCGTGACAAGTCTTTTCGGATTGCCTCTATCAATACGTTGGAGTCGATCCATTCACGCCCAAAAACTTTGTTGTTGAAGCAGATCCAATCAAGAGCCGAAACTACAACTTGTAGATTTTCTTCAGGTATGGCCTCGAAAATTCTGTCGTATGCTTCGTCGAGGGTTTTTGGGAGGTTTCTCAATTCGTTCATGATGGCTGCCTTGTTCCCTTTGATTCGTCGTAAGGAATCAAGCTGGCATACAATCCACCGGAACCTACGGCGCGGAGCGATTAGTCTCGTATAGACGATAGCGGTTGTAAGTGACATACTTACATTCCTTTTGCGCCAATACACAAGGCCTCTAGAGCCTCTTGGCGTACATCTTTTGTCCAGTCCTTCAACTTGTCGTTAGTAGCGAGTCGCGATTCAGTATACAGACGAATATCAGCATCGAGGTACTCGTTTCTCATGGACATTTCCGTCGAAACCTCTTCCATGACTTTTTCAATGTCCAGATATTCGCGACTTGTCACTAAGAGCCGGATGTTTGAGAATCTCAAGTCGGTGGCGAGATCTCGCAAGACCTTGAGAAGCTCTTCTCGGGGACTGCTTTCGTCAACAGCGTCAATCGTAATGTGAACACTGCTGAAGTAGCGTGAGACAGCCTCAAGAGCAGTGAGCAGGTCGCTGAGGCTTGGATCCTTGCCATCCTTGAACATTTTCCAAAGATGGTCTGGGACCTGATCTACCTTCCTACACATACGCTCAAGGACCCATCTTAAAAATGGAGCTGACTCGTCCTGATTGTGCCCGAAGTAGCAGTAGTATTGAATTCCAATCGACACAGAGTCACTTGAAGTAGACTGTCGGCAATTCTCTTCGATTTTCTCAGCAAGTTGTGAAGCCAAGATAGTTTTGCCGGCTCCCGGGATGCCATGAATCCACAGGCATCGTACATCTCCTTGACTGAACTGGGTCCACTCTGGAGTACGTGACATCCATTCGCACGTTCCAGGTTCGTGATTTGTGCAAGCTCGGCGGTGAATTGATGATGGGTCAGTATGTCTGAGCCACTTGTACACATCGTTTCGTTGGTTTTCTAACCATTAAGGTGACGATCAGTATGGTAACAGTGGCTATCGCTTAAGAGGTCGAGTAGAACATACCAGTCAGAACTTGCTGGATGCGTGAAGTTCTTTCGCGTATGAGCTTGATGTCATGACTAGGGGAAGATAAGTCTTAGAATTCTTGCTGGCTACCCGTGATTTGTATACGAGACACAGCATTTTCACTTACCTGGATGTTGCGGTTAAAGCGAGACTGATTGTATTTTTGCACCGTGCAACGTCTTGGAGCAGTTTTCTGGCCTTCGTCTCCTTCAACGGCCATGCCAAGTTCCTCAGAGTGACCTGCACTTTCCTTCTCTTAGAATCAGGGGGCCCTTGTGCCTGGTTTTGGTCAGAGGCGATCAACTTCTCCAGCTGTTCGATGGCGCCATGGCATTCTGCAACAGGCCCTGCATCTCCGTCCAAAGCTTTTCGCAAAGCCGAGTATGGTTCTTCGAATTTGAGGAGGAACTCGACGTTCTGCAAGACTGCCCCCACCGAGGAACATTCGACGAGGATCGTGCGTAGATCGGAGGGTGCATCCCGGACGTTCTCGATGTAGTGCTTGCAGATCGAAACCACTCTATCAGCGATCTGAATAGTTGCAAAGACGCTCGCCACAAGACCGAAGGCTTCTGCCATCTTTCAGCCGTTGTCAGTACTCAGGGCAGTACTGAAACGATCGATGACACCAGCGACCCGCGTACTTGAAAAGGGGAGAATGGCGAAGATACGATCAGGCTGTGGGCGGGGAGATCTCGCCTTATGATTCCTATGGCCCCCGAAAGCAGCTGGCAGAATGCCTCGAAGTGTGCCCAAGGCAGGCTGTGCCGCAATCTGACAACTCCAGTCCAATTATTCGTCGCAGCTGATGGTTCGCCTCATAACGATGCGCCTCATAACGATCCCGTAGCCTGCATCGCCATGGGGGCTGGTGTGCCAAGGCATATTGACCAATCAGGTGCTTATCGCTGTATGAGGAATTGCATTGCAGATTACTTTGTCGAATGTGTCTATTTCTATCAGGTACCGAGACCTGCAAGTAACGCTAATCGCTCACAAATTGCTGGAAATTCTAGTCATGAAGTTGGTCATCAGTTCATCCTCCTCCGGGATCAAGCCAAACTTATCCGCGCTCCTCTCGTTCTGGAAGCCCTCATCGGGGCTCGCCCAGCTGTAGCCCTTCCACACGCCCAACTCGGGCCACATCTTCTGCTCCACGAGAGCCTTGAGCTTCTCATACCGCGCCGAAGCCTCACTGCCAGCAGCGAGACCCTGGAGCACAACCTTCCACGACTCGACAGTCTGCTCGAGCTCCGCGGTGCTGGTGACGCCCATGACGCTGCCTCCGACGCGCACGTCGCCGCTCTGGCTCGGCAACTGCACGCCGAGACCAGCTGCGGCGCCGACGCGGGCGTACTCCTCCATTGACCAGTGAAGCGCCACGGTTTCCAGACGCTCGCCGGCATCGCTGGCGATGGTCGAGAGCTTCTGGCATGCCAAGCGCAGGTCGTCCGGCGCGGGGTGCCACGAGGCGATAACGCCGGCCTTGCCCTCCGCCGTCTCCGTGCGCGCGGGAACGCCTGTGGATGTGAGGAGACCCATACCGAGCATGCTTGCGTTCAGCACGACCTGCACGCCGGCGTTGCGGAATCTCCGCAGCGGGCTCTGCTCGTCGGTGTGGTCGGGTCCGGCGACAACCTCTGCGAGGCCGAGCGTGGGGTTCTGGATGGTGAAGTGGCCGTAGCTCAGGATTGCATCGAGAGCCTCACCTGTCTCAGCGAGGATCATCTCGGCGAGACTGCAGAGAACATGGACGGGGAAACCACTGATACCGACATAGCGGATCTTGCCCTCATCGCGAAGCTGTCTTAACGTCTGGACGGCAGCAAGGACTTCTGCGGGGGGGACGAACTCGACGTCGTGCATGTACACGAGGTCGAGGTACGTCGTGTTGAGGCGGCTGAGGGAGCGGAGGACAGAGTAGCGCACGTACGCCGGCGAGTAGTCAAACTCGTTGCCGGCGATGCGGCCTGCCTTTGTGACCAGCACGTAGGACTCTCTGGGAATGTTGGTGGCTGCGGTGTGGGCGGCCAGGGCGTCGCCGAGGAGGACCTCTGAGGGGCCGTAGTACGGCGATGTGTCGAAGCCGTTGACGCCGAGCTCTAGCGCCCTTGAGACGATTTGCCTGTACGGCATCTGCAGCGGGTCCTTTACATGCTGGGTGTTGAAGGTTGCTGTGCCCAGGAAGAGAGGTGGCAGGACAGAGGCGATGGAAGGCCGGGAGGCCGGGTTGAGGCTTGTTGTGGTAGCCATGACTCCTGGAGGAAAGGTGATATGAGAATGAGATGAGAGCTAGTGAGAATGGTTCGATATGCTCAGGGTGTAAAAGTTCGGGAAGAGGGGCGGGAAAGAAGAGGGACTTGTCAGGAAACTGTCTAGCCTTAAGACGGGAAGTCAGAAGAAAGGGCTGAGCCGGTGAGGTGTTTGCTACTTGATATGAGAGGGTCACAACAGGATCGGTCCAGAAGTCTGGTCTAAAAAGCCCGCATGGGGGGCCTCGCTGCTTGCCAGGCTCCTGGACTAGGAAGAATTCGTTATTAACCATAACTGTTATGTGGGCAGTTGAGACCGCTCTTCTCCGTCCGCTTCTATTAGCGTACCCAGAAACCGTGAGCTCGGATTCTCCCAGGGCTAGGCTCAAGCCGCGTACGCTCAAAGGGTACTCGACTCAGTGCCGATACATAGGTAAGGTATTAGAGTATCAACTCGTCAATACTTACGAAGCTATGTTGCGTGGTGGGGTTTATGCGTGGTCCATCTTGGGCCAAGCCCTTGGGCGCGAGCTATTTTGCCAAGTGAATTTGGACCGATTGCACGTGTCACCTCGTCTCAACTTGCCACAACTTGATAGACAAAAGTGACAGAGTGACAGCAGAACGACAAGTTGGGCAAAGCCGCAAAAGAGAGAGAGAAGAGAGATCATGGGTGGGAGGACCCCCAAATGCAAGAATCCTTGCCAACTGCAATTTTTCTCCTACCGGGCCTCGCCGGCCGGCATAAGTGTGGCGGAACCCCAGTATCCATGTTCCTCTGAGACTTCCCGTTTCAAGCCACCCTCCTTGACTCGTCATCCACAAACAGATCCCCCCGATCCCTGGCGCCAGTCGTACGGTCGCACCAGAAAGCACCGCAGAAAGTCAGAAACCCAGAAGATGCGGTGTGCTCCATTGCGGACGCTAAACTTGTTTTGTCATATAAACCGTCATTAGCCTCAAAATTTCCAAAACACTCGGCTTCCAGGGTGCGTTGTCCAATTCACTCTCGGGTTTTCCCTCATAATCTTTGCCAACGAGAGAGGCGGGCGGCACTTAACAAAAGCCCCTCAACCTTGGATCATCATCAGGGTCGTCTGTAGTTCGACTTTGCTTCTTCCGAGCCCGGTGTAATAGTTGTTAATTATCATCGTCGACGAGAGCAGGCTCCGACACTCACAATGGCCGCCGTTGCGTCCCTGGACCCTCACATTCGCGGCATCATCGATGATGCCGCCGCCGATGGCATCCCGTTCCGGGCCAAGTCGGCTCACTTCCACACCACCTGGGCGCGTACCTTCTCATCGCTGCCGGAGCTCTTCATTCAGCCTCAGTCGCAGCAGGAGGTTGAGAAGGCTGTCAAGCTTGCGCGCCGGTGCAGACGGCGCATCACCACGGTTGGCCATGCACACTCACCTTCGGACCTCACGTGCACGAGTAACTGGCTGGTCAACCTCGATGGATTCAAGAAAGTGTTATCTGTCGATAGTAAGCACGGACCCTCATGTCATATCTCATTCACTCATCCGCGTAATCTCATGAGAGCTATGCTAATGCAACTTGACAGAAGAGACTGGTCTCGTTGTCATGCAAGCCGGTATCCGGCTATGGCAACTCACTGAGGAGCTGAATAAGCATGGCCTCTCATTCCCTGTGCTGGGTAGCGTCAACGAGCAGAGCATCGCCGGCGTCATCAGCACAGGAACCCGCGGCAGCACCCTGAAATACGGTCTGCTTTCGGAGGCCATTTCCTCCCTCAAGATCGTCCTTGCCAACGGTGAGACGGTCTCATGCTCGCCGGACGAGAACCCGGATCTCTTCCGCGGCGCCACGCTGTCGCTCGGCGCCCTCGGCATCATTACCGAGGTCAGCTTCCGTGCCGTGCCGGCTTTTAGCTTGCACTGGCAGCAGACGATCCAGGCCGACTACAAGATGCTCGACGCCTGGAAGCAGGACAACAAGCTATGGACCCAGTCCGACTTTGTCCGGGTGTGGTGGCTGCCTTATACCAGGAGGGCCGTGGTCTGGAAGGCAGACATTGTCACAAAGGAAGACCTCGAGTCCGGAAAGGAGAAGAACCGAGATCCGCCAGTCGGCTACTACGATGGAGCTCTCGGTTATCACATATACCACAACCTCCTTTACCTATCGCGTTACATCCCTCGCATCCTGCCCTGGGTTGAATGGTAAGCTGAAGCCCCTTCCTTGATACACCTCATCCGACGTCGTCGACGGACTCAACGGACTAACTGACGTCCTACAGGTTCGTGTTCGGCATGCAATACGGCTTCAATGATGGCTACACCTCATCAGCCGTCCAGCCCATGGATAAGGCTTTGTGGATGAACTGTCTCTACAGCCAATTCGTCAACGAGTGGGCCATCCCGCTCCACCGCGGGCCCGAGGCCCTGATGCGTCTCGGATCCTGGCTCAACAAGCTCAAGCCGGGCGACCCCGACTACGTCGACCACGGCATTCCCTTCTCTGCTGAGGGCCTCTACGTGCACTCGCCCGTCGAGGTCCGCGTCTGCGACGCCACCGTCCACACCAGCGCTGAGCAGCGCAACAGACCCTTCCTCGACAGCACCGTCAAGGACGGTCCCACGCTCAACCTCAACGCGACGATGTACCGTCCCTACGACCTCGACCCGCCCGGCCTGAAGCGCTGGATGCAGGGCTTCGAGTGGCTGATGCGTGACCTCGGTGGCAAGCCGCACTGGGCCAAGAACTTCAACGTCAAGAACGAGGAGTTTGCTGAGTGGTACGGCGACGACATGGTCCAGTGGCGTCGTGTCCGCGATGAGGTTGACCCCGACGGACTGTTCGTCGGACCTTGGCACCGGCAGTTTGTGCTGGATCCCAAGAGCGCTCCTCTCAAGTTTGAAGAGTTTGAGAAGACGAGGCATGATGCTGGCCGGGGTGTAACCGTATACGGCACCCGTCTGGAGATCGAAGATGCCGATGCTGATGTCAAGGCATGAGCTACCCTATCTTAGTTAGTATCTGTAGTGTCTGACTGTGTAACTTCTTGGCCCGGTGAATGGCGTGGGCTGTGAAAATTGGCATCTGGATCTTTCATAGCATTGATTTACTTCCTACAATACAATCACATAGATTTCAAGCGAGGCAATTTCCATCACCCCGCCCAGACTGCCCGGAAGCATTTTACATCCAAAGTAAGATTGTAAACAGTTCTTATTCCCAATATTCAAATACGATGAAACGTGCAAATCATTGCCTCTTCCGTTGATGCCTCCCTTCCCAGCCAACAATCTTTCTGGTCCCTGAATTTTGGAGCTGTCTCCTTTTCTGCGCAGTCGATAACCCACCCCTCCATCCACCCCCATGGGCACGCAGCTACGGTAGGCGAGGGTAGAACGGGGGTCTTCTCCGTTAGTGCATCCGTCAAGATGCTACTTGGTCTGTGGTGTAGGTAGATAAATGAAAGTCCGAAAATGCCAGATACGTGTAAAGACAGCTTTTTACGCCGTAATGGTAGGTAGACCGTAGACTCCACACTTGACCCCCCTCCCCTGTGTGATGCTCAGATCGTCGCCCTTTAATCTTGCTAAGCAAGAAAGACAAGGTAACGGTCCGTGTTCTCCTGGAGCGAGATCACCCAATTCTGGGCACCAAGACGAGACTCCCAAGTTCTAGAATTTCTTTGGGAAGGACAACAAAGTTAAGGAATTCTGGATACCCTTCATCACATCATTCTTCTTTTTCTCGCTCGGGCTTTTCAAGGGGCGGGCGGCAGGGCATGGTTCAAGTTTTGGTTTGTCGGCCGCGGGACGCGGGTGAGCGGCAATCAGCGAGTTTGATCATCGCACCGAATTCAATGCCGCTCGTACGTTCGTCCCCCTTCGCCGGTGACGGTCGGCGAGGACGAGCGAGGACGAGCGCGGACTCTTGTTCTTTGTATCAACGTCGTCGTAAGGCTGCAGGCTCAACGTCGCATTGCGTCGCGATTGTGGATTAGTATTGCACTGCGGTGTTGCGCAATCGCGCATTATCTGAAGACCCCTTCGTCTTAGTTGGCGGTATGGCTTGCAGCAAGGGGACGCACCAACAGCTTAGTGCTCATGAGTAGCCTATATGGCCAGCATCTTCGGGACGTTTGACGAGGTCTTCGGATCGCTGATACCGAATTGATTACTGCCAATGCTGTCTATAGTGAAAAATTATCAATTTCAACCTTGTTTGAGGTTCCTTAGCTGCGGTGTCTGAGAGAGAAAATAATATGAACATCTACTTGGCTTATATTAGTCGGAGAAATAAACGAAAAACTCAAAATGATTGAAAATCCAATCTTGCATGAAGATCCGGCCGGTGTTTGCCGGAGCCTCAGATGTTTGCGCACACGCACTGGCAGGCCTAGACACCTCTGTACTCCATCAGGTAGTCTGGGATATCTACAATGTAGGGGCTCGTCGCAGCACCATGTCTCCTACTGTACCCGGCTGGATATCCGATAGTGATATGGAAAGAAAGCGGCGAATCAGTTCGTCGACAATGATGCTATCCCTTCCCCTGCGTTGCCGATAACAAACAGATTGCTGGGGGTTCAATCCAGTGTTCTGAACTTCCGTCAAGTCTGTTCCCGAACGAGCGCGCGGCAAGCTCGAGCCACAGCCGGTGGGTTGGCCCTCGGGCTGGGAACAGGATTGTTGTCCACAACATCCGCGTACTCAAGGGGCCGTCCTTGCTTGCTTGCGTGTTGTGGAACCTCTTGCGTGAAATTGGTAACTGAGCCGCCTTTTGCCCAATGCCCAGTTATCACATAATCATGCAGTTTGTGAGCCGCGGTGCAAGGTGAGGGAGTCAGAGAGTCAGAGAGTGCCATCTAGCTTTGGGCTGTTCACCGCCGCGCCGCTGGCTGTGCTCCGTTCCCCCCAAGCGCGCCCACTTCCCGACTCTCTGGATTCACCGAAGGGCTGAGCGCAAATCAAGGAAGAAAATTTCTATCAGAGTAGCACTCAGCCGCGTCAATCCCGTTATGATTAAGGTTCTATGGTTCAGGAAGCCACGTCAGATGAACATCAATGATTGCTTTTTACTACGTTGAGTCCCGTAGTGGCGGGCAATGACGTGGTTGTGGACGGCAATCAATGTAGCTTGCGCAAAAAAGGGGACCAACAAGCAAATACTGGTGGTGACTGTAAAGTTCAATGCTACAGTAAACACTTGAATGGTAAAGCAACCCCCCACCAGCCCGCGGGAGGCGCGTCTTTCCTTACTTGCATTCACAATTCATTCAAACAGAGTTTGGCGAGAACCAGATGGCACCTGCATGCGCTAGACTGTTAGCGGTCGATAGCATATTGATGTCTGTATGACGGGGCGGCCATCTGGGACGGTCCTGGAGACGGATAGACTGGATGGAGACTTGAAGTTTTGGAGTTTTGGGGACAAGAGTCGAACGGACGGAGTCGACCCGTTGCCCCGGAATTGAGAGACAAGACAATACTCCACCACCCATCTCGGTAGTTGAGAGTGGTCAAGACTTTCAGACATGCTTGACATGGACGAGAAGGAATAAGGAAGGAGGATTCAGGAAGACGCAACGACCAGGTCCTGCTGCACTGTTGTCAGCACACTACAAGCAGGGTACGGCCGACCTAGCCGTGTTGGGGCAGACGAGAACCTCCCAGTAGAGAGTGAATGTATGCAGAAACTCAAAGTTGCATACTGCTGCAGCTTCATCAGTGGAGAGAGAAAGGAGCCCGGGCCATCGATAACGTTCCGCAGCCGTCCCGTCAGGACATCATTGGGCCTCTGCACATGCTGGGTCTTACACAGGTGCAGAGCCATCTCTCCAATTTTATCTGAATCCCCGTTTTGGATCATGTTGCCAGTTGGGAGGGGGGGATGCCGTGAGAGAGTTGAGACTGAGGCTCTTATCACGGCCGGTGAGGACGACAGCCAACAACTGCCGATGATTTTCTCACGGGTTTCACAGTTGGGTGAGGGTCGGCAAGGCGCGCGTTAACAAGCACCCGTTCGTCATGAGTCCGGAAAAGCCGTGATGGGCGCAAGTCCGGGCGCCGGGCGCCGTCCGAACCAAACCCCCAACCCCAACCAGGCACCTCAGCACCAGCCAGTCATTCCATCATCTTGTCTGCAATAGCTGCCATCTTGGGTGACATACGACAGACGTTTTGAGACGAGGTGAAGTGGACGTGGCTTTTTCGCGCTTGTCCGATCTGATTCCCAGAATAGACACTAATGGTTCGTGTCAATAGGTAGTATGTTCCTGGTTTCGGGTCACTTTCTTGATGAAGCCTGAAGGTGAGGCGTGGAGGGCACAATCACAGTGTCGACTACATTTGCCAAGAAAGGAAATAGAGTCGGGGTCGCCTCAGCCCTCGTAGACTGCGAGACAAACCCTCCAGAAAGTGCTACGTTGAACCGATTTGCGAGCAAAAGAACAGATGAAGAGACCATGGGGTGCAGATCCAAGAAAACGGCTCCTTCAGATAAACCTCTCTGCTGGACTAAAAATTGGTCCGTTGTACAGGTAAGTTGGGGTAACTGAGAGCCAAGACTAGCTAAGGTGTGAGAGAATGGTGATCATAGCCGAGCATGTGCAAAAACCACTTTACTGAGTACTCATGAATCCGAGTACCTCGCCATTGACTTTGAGCACTGGAGTTTTCCTCGCCACTACCTGCAACTTGTGCAATTTGTCTGACTCTCGGGTGGGAGGGGAATCGAAAGTAGGGAGGGGGGCAGGCAATCAAGGCTCCCCTGCCACCAGATCTAGCAGAGAACAGCACAGACGGCAGCTCCCGACCAGAAGGTCGGGTCAAGCCAAGTGTGTGAGTAGAAAGTTAATGGTAGTGCTCGAAAGCCTCGAAGACGTGTGGTGTGTCTTGGCCACCAAGAGGACCCAGGGACTAAGGACCGAATGTCACCCTTGAACCCAGCTCCGACTTGGCCAGAAAGGAGTCGATCAACGATGACTGGACAGGGGCATGAAACTGACTCACTCTTGTTCTCTCTCTCCTCCAGGGCCCCCACCCTTCTTCTGTGGCTGGTGAGAGTGCTCTGTAAAGTTCAGGGACTCCAAGAAAGTAAAATGTCACCTCGAAAGGAGGCTCTGCCATGTCAGCTTGCGTCTGCAGCTTTCTGGGCGCCATTTATCGGTTAAAGCTGCCCAAAGACAGCTTAAGCCCCGATGCGCCTAGACGCCATCCGCCCACTCCTTTCGCTGGTGTGACCCTTTCCGCCCATCCACTTCCCGAAGAGGCGAAGGAGCCCCTCCATCTCCCATATTGCGGTGCCACCGGGGAGGACGGCAAGACGCTCGTTAGCGCGCGCACACAAAGAAAAAGACCCTCTGTAAAATATATTCCGTTTCAATGAATAGGTATCCGTAATCGCCTTGTCATCGCAATTGTGGATGACGTTGACTCCATCGATATTGCGTCGTCTTTTCCTTAGTGCGGCTGAGAGCGAGTTTCCTTATGCCCAGTAGGCCTGATGATTGAGACAAGAACGGTTTCAACACGTAGTTTTCCTTCTAGAAGAAGCCAAATAAGCAAGAAACTCACCTTGAGTACGACAGCGTCATCTGAAAGCTTCTTCAGATGAGGTTCGACACGTCAGGGAGCCTGGACAACATTGGATGCGATGCAAGGGGACCATACGTCAGAGTCAGACACCTTGCCGTGCTACCAACGGCGGCCAGCACGTGTCCAGCCTAGCCACCCAGCGTCTAAATCTATGTCCAACAGGCGGCTATCTTGGCGGGAGGGGGCCATGGCGTACCAGGCGCAGCTTGAATGGGATCACGACAGCTGTAGAATGACAGGAATTAACGAGGGGGCGTTTAGAAACCGAAAAAAGCAATCTACGGAGAGATGCGTCTAGCGTGGATTGATAAACATTAAAGTTTGGCCCAGCTTCTCGCCCGAATCAGGACGCCACGGACGCCCATCAGATTGATCAGAGGGGACGATCTCTTGTCCTGGTTAGACGGAGATGAAGTGAGTTTGGGGGAGATGGCCAAGACCTGCAGATGTCCTCTTCTGACCCTTGCCAGCATGCAGGTACACCGAGGCCCAGAACCCAGGCTCGACCAGCTTCTCTCTTTGATATCTACGAATAATACACTATGGACGGTTCACGGGATATCCACGTCGTCCCGTCGCGTCGGTGTGGCTTGACAAACCCCCCATCCCGTCCCGGAACAAATCAAGACATACCACCGATGAACCGAGGTGGGAACTGATAACAGCATTCTCGCGGGATGAGGTGGCTTACATTATGCAAAGTCTGGCATATGCCTGCTCCTCGGAGGCGCACGAGCCCTCGCGTCAGGTTTCCTATTGGATTAAGGGGAGGGGGGTTTACCAGTCTTGGCCCGTTGTTTATTGTGGGCTATTTTGAGACCACGACTTCGTCACCCTTCCCACGCCTTCTTACCGCGGCCAAACGTGCATGTCCAGAGTAAATGAAAGGGCTCTCTCTGAGCTTGTACCCCCCGACACGGTGAAGCATGGTTCACCTTGGATACCGCTTCGCTGTGGAAAAGGACGCCCACCCTCTGTCATGAACTTTGACGGCAGATCGCCCATGATAGGCTCGAGCCAGGGACCTCCCTGTGCATCAAATTGAGGATCCGCTTTACGCCCAACGACCAAACTCCTCTTTTTTTCTAGGCTTACAAGTTACACTAGACTGAATATACTGGAGATATCGATGGCTCCAAGGTATCCGATGGATCGAGCACCTTTGATCAGTATTAAAGAGCGGATCTTCCTCTCTCCATCACGGGTCTATCATCAGCAAGATCATCAGCTTCACTTTCCAACCACCTTTCTTCTTCTCATCAAACATCAACAGAGTTGATTAAAACAAATCAGAGCCGGGCTCCATTTCACTGCTTCACTTCTTCCAAGCAACAGAAACATCGAGCCTCACCCGCTTCTTTCAACCATCTCTCCCTTTTCCACCACACACATTTCAAAATGGTTCCTCCTCGCTCTGGATCTGCTATGGGCATGCGCAGCCGCGGCCCCGTAGAGCTCAACGTCAACCTCGCCAAGTCATATGAGATTCGCGGCCCCAAGTCACCTATGCCCAGATCTCCTCTCCGCGACGTCACCCACGAGGACCGCAGGGCCTCATCATCATACGAAGACCGACTCGATGGCGCCATCCACGTCCTCCGCACTGAGGCAAACGCCCTCATGGCCCTTACTCAGCTCTACTCCTCCGAGCGCGTCTGCCGCGACGGCTTCTACCGCTCCGTTGATGCTCTTGTCCGCCACCGCGATCACCGCGGCAAGGTCGTCTTCATCGGCGTCGGCAAGTCTGGCTGGATTGCGAAGAAGCTCACTGCCACCTTCAGCAGCTTGGGTCTCCCCGCCGTCTTCCTTCACCCCACTGAGGCCCTCCACGGTGACCTCGGCATTGTGGGCGAGTACGACACCCTCATCATGATCACCTTCTCCGGCAAGACCCCCGAGCTCATGCTCCTCCTGCCTCACCTCAACAAGAAGTGCCCTCTCATCCTCCTTACTTCACCCACTAGCATGGAGACGTGCGAGATCGCAAAGGCCCGCCCTGATCTCATCCTCCTCCCTGCTCCCATCCCCGAGTCTGAGAAGGATACCTTTGGCGTCTCTGCGCCTACCACTTCTACGACCATGGCCATTGCCATGGGCGATGCCTTGGCGTATGTTGCTTCAAAGGAGATGTACTCATCGGTATCATCAGTCTTTGCAAAGAACCACCCTGGTGGCGCCATTGGCCAGGCTTTCAAGACAAAATAAACAGCCACTTGGTTGTCGACTTTTGTATTGAGAAAAGCTTTCTATTGTTTTGAGGCAGGGCGTTGTCGGATATCGGGGGGACTTCACAGACGTTAACGGACAGAGTTCAAATTGCTCATAAGGCGTCCAATCTTCATTGTAAATATCTTGTTCGGATTCGGGATTATTAGGCAAAACTAGCGGTTTTCGGGGACTCCATAGACTTCATTTCTTATGTTCGATACCACAATTCGATGATCATATCTCGTATTATCTCTCAAGTTCAAACATAACTCTCTTCCCAAAACGATGTGCCATACTCCGAAACGAGATTATAGACTGCAGGCATCTCATTTTGCCATCTCATTCGGTACAAAGTATAAAATGGAACTAAGTGTACTCGAGATGACTTCATTCCATGTACATCTGTTTCTTAGAAATTATTCACGCTTGGCATAAACATTGAATCCAGTTTATCGTACATCTCGGTGGTGCTACGTAGGGCATGTTACATTTGTCGCCACACTAATGCAGGGTAATGGCGAGATCATCAATCCTCCCTGAGGAGGTGAAGATCGATTGATCGATGTTTGAAAAGTCTCGACTTTGGGCCTCCTTGTTTGCAAACACCTCACATCAACGTACAAATGTGTCGTTGCACATATCCTGATACTTCATCCACCGGCCTAGTGATACCTCGCCAGGCACTCTTTTGCCGTGCCGTGATGCCAACATAAGGCTAGGTAGTACATATTCCATAATCCCCTCAGGTCTCAGCAAAGGAAAAAATCCCAAACCCAGAGTTTCTTCTGCGGAGCATATGTGCCACACGGCGTGAGCGGGTGGATGAATGAGTGCCGTGCTTGCCTCTCTTGCCAGAGATCTGGGACTGACACAACCCACACCCACCCACTGTCACAAGTCAAAAATCTCCATGAGTTTGTTTTGCCTTTGCTGCCCAGAACCCAGAACGGCAAGTGAGTAAGAGAAAGAGAGAAGCAGAACCCCGCTTGTCCGCCTCGACTGGAGTTGGCACCTGCAATCTCTTTCACACAACAAGTTCTAGACGCCGCACCTTGGTTCCCTCAGATCCTGTCGTCCAGTCGCCCTTCCTCCTATCATTGGCAGACGACGGACGTTAACCCTGCCATCTCTACTTGAGCCCCTGCAGGATGATCGCCCGTGCATAGCCAGGGAATATTCCTTGAGTACGGACCAATCGACCGACAGGGGTGTCCTAGTCTTATCCCACTAGGAACCTCACCAGCGTCGCATTGACTCGATCCAACGGAGGGTACGTACTCCACCCACGCACATTCGGGTCGAAAGTCCTTAAAACAGTTTGATATAACGCCAACCCGTAACGGCACGTGGGGTTTGACGCGTAGTTGCCGGGATAGGGGGGCATGGGCCACCCGAAAGGCTTTCCTTTTGGCACATCATCTTTGCGGCTTGCCCGCTGCGGTCGTCCGTTGTGGGCACCCATCCCTCCCCCGTCGCGTCTCGTTGATTCAGGAGTCCTCAGAGAAATTAATAATTCCTGGGTTATCGCTGCGGTGCCGCCGATCCGCACCCAAGGTGATCCTAGTCGATCACCGGCCCTGGGGTCCCCAAGCATGATGATGAGCTGTGTTCATCATCAGCCACCCCGAGCTGGCGGCTACAACGACGTATGCCATGTGGGGAGGGGGGGGCGTGGGATGTAAGGCCTGCGTTGCTTCTTAGACGCTGCCCGTCAATTATCCAAGACATGCGTAGCACAGCAAGCGAGAATGATGTGGTTCTCGCCCCTTGGACTTCATGGTCCTGATAGGGTCGGTCCCCGTCCTCGGCGGGCTCCTTTCCCTGCCTCTTGCAGTTATCACTCAATGAGGCCCATCATTGACAGGAAAACCTCCATTCCCTCTCCTTCACTCACCGCTACCAGTCTGGAAGCTAGCAGTAATGATCCATCACCATGTCGGACTCTCTCCAAGTGCCTGACCCCGCCAGGCTACAGTTCTACCCTCCAGGTGGACAGAAGCAGACCAGATTCGCTCCTCTCCCACCGAGACCACCGCCGCCTCCTGGTAGGCACTCCTTCATCAATGCCAGGAGCTCATGGATGCGAAGAAGCCAACGCTTCCAACCTCTTGGACTTGAACCACCACCATCAGACCGCTTCTCCCGCTTGCCGCGGCTAAGCAGGTTATCATACTACCCCGTCGCCAACGAATATATCGAGGGTGTCTTCAACGAGAAGACTGCCCTCCCTCCACGATGGTCCTTTTACGTACCAGACTTTGACTTTGATGTCGAGGACTTTAAGAAGTATGACGAGAAGCCAGAAAATGAAGACGACGAGGGCCCGCCAACAGCCCTCAAGGCCTTCCGTGTCGATTTTTGGGATGGAGACCCGGATGACCCAAAGAACTGGTCGACGGCCTACCGTGTGCTCGTCGTCGCCATGTTTGCCTTGACGACACTGGCTACGGGCATCTACTCGACGGCCTACTCCAGTGGTATCACCCAGATGAGCCAAGAGCTCAACGTCACCAACCCTTCACTACCTCTCCTCGGTATCTCTCTTTACCTCGTCGGTCTTGCCCTTGGTGCCCTTATCATGGCACCTTTGAGTGAGACCTTCGGCCGAAGACCAATGTACATTGGCGGTCTGACAGTGTTCTTGGGACTGATTCCTCTCGCCGCACTGGCAACCAACTTCACGATGGTCATCGTGGCACGTTTCTTAGGGTAAGCCGCCTTCACATTGTTCTTTCACTCATAAGATCAGTTGCTCACACGAACTCTAGTGCTGTCGCGGGAAGTGTCATGCTTTCCAACGTTGGCGGCTCCATCATGGACATCACGAACCCCAAATACTTGCCGCTGGCTATGTCAGTGTACTCATTCGGACCCCTCAACGGTCCCGTCCTCGGCCCTCTCATGGTAAGTTCCAATCACTCAAGATCCTCGGCCCAGGTTACTAACAATAATGACAGGGTGGATTTCTCGTTGAAGCCTTCGGCTGGAGATCACTCAACTGGATGTCATTGATCTCAACAGCCGTGGGAGCTCTCTTCATCATGACCGTTCCAGAGACGTACCGGCCTACACTTCTGAGAAAGAAGGCTGCTGCAAAGCGGCAAGAAGAGGAAGACCACAGATACTGGTCCGACTTTGACGACACCGTCCCTATTTTCCGCAGAATCAGGACGGCCGTGTCCCGTCCCTTCATCCTATCCTTCACTGAGCCCGTGCTCATGTTCTGGAACATTTACATATCTGTCATTTACGCCATCGTCCAGTTGGCCTACGTCGCATTTCCTATTGTCTACACCACCGAGCGCGGCTGGAGCGTCGCCATTTCTGGTCTCGCCTTCCTCGGCGTCTTTGTCGGTATCGCGCTCGTCCTAGCCACCGAGCCGCTTCTCAGAAAGCTGGTCAATCGCCAACCCAAGAACCCGGAGACTGGCCAACAGGAGCCAGAGGCAGTCGTCCTTCTCATCTGCATCGGTGCGGTCCTCGAGCCCGTCGGCCAGCTCTCATTCGCTCTGACTTCCCTACCCATCGACATCCCCTTTTACTGGAGTGTCCTATCTGGTGTCCCCTTCGGCTACGGCTTCGGCCTCGTCTTCATTTACGGAACCAGCTACATCTCAAAAGTCTTTGGCATGTACGCGACCTCCGCCTCAGCCGGTAACCTCGTCTTCAGATCTATTCTGGGCGCCGTGTTGGTGCTCGTCGGCAAGAGCATGTACGCCGCCCTGACACCGCGCATTGCGGGCATTACGGTCGGTGTCGCCGAGGTCGTGCTCATGCCCGTCCCCTTTATCTTTTATAAGTGGGGCAAAAAGATTCGGCAGAGAAGCAAACTTATTCAAACTTTGGAGGAGCAAGCGAAGAAGATGTCTTAATTTTTTTATCCCCTCTGTACTACGGAAACCGGAAAGATACCCCCCTTTTCCTATGTCGAATACTGTACTGTGAACCAGTCACCAGTTACATTCTTGTCAAATAGCCTTTATTTATCAAACATCTGTACTTAGAACCTCGAGCGATCAAAATGTGTAGAATATAGATAGAATCATCATCATTATCCAAAAGTCCAATATTGCCTCCCATCTTCTATCTCATCACTCGTACGAGTACATGTAGTTACTGCGTCATAGATTGCACGCACAGTCGTGAGATCTGTGGTCATTGCAAACTTGTAAGGTACATGTGGTTTTCCTATGCCGAACAAAGTTGCAGCCGCTCTTTCCAACACATTTTGACCCACTGATTCTGTGTATATCGACACGGCTCTTCTGCAGGGGACATATTACTCGCAGGGCTCGCAGTGTTTGTCACACTGCCCGTCCAAACATTTTCCCGCAGCATCTTGAGCGCCACTGAGATATTGAGAAGCTTCTGCTTGTCGATAATTCTCTCAAACAGGTCTTCTACCTCATACCGCCGTGCGCTCACCGCCATGCTCTCGCAGCCGAGCACAAACACGGGCCAAACCATCATGGTCGCCGCATGCGTGTCGAGCGGCACGGCGGCAACGGCGTCGGATAGCTGCTCCACCAAAGCCAGGGGATGCTTTGCGGGACGTTCGGCTGCCAACGTGCTTGAGTCACCCTCGTCCGCGCGGAGCAGGAAGATTTGTGTTGCCAGGCTGTGGGCCCGGGCGGCTGCGATGCAGGCGTTGGCATCGCGGATTTTGAGACTCGTTGGCGGAGCCGATGGATCAGTATTTGGATCTGGCTGATGTTGAGGAGGTGGAAGATCTTGGCAAGCTGATTCAAGTTTTTCTAGGAGATGACATCGAGAAGAGACAAAGTCCTCGGGCATAATCATCGTTTGGAAGAAGTCGTCAACCAGCGAGGCTGCTGCTCCAATCACCGGCAAGATGCGCATCGAGTAGCCGAAAACAATGTCTGGCCCATTGGCGGCAGAGCAGTCTTGACATTTTGGGAGGATGAGATCTTGCCAGGCCTGCTCGTCAAAGACCGGGTGTGTTGCGCAAGGTACGCAGCAGAACGTGTCGATGTAAGCCATCATCTTAACGTTCACTGCCATCATTGGAGTGTCCTTTTCGATTGGCCAATTTGCGGCCACTCTTTGTCGTAAATTGTGTCTTTCTTGCATTTGCGCTTTAAGGCCTCGAAGAAGAGGGATGATTGATGGTGTATGTGACCCTTGCATGATTTCCATGCCAACGAGCGCTGCTGATGCTGCAATTGCCTCTTCACTCAAATACACTGGGAATGACGTCTGAAACTGGGGGTTCGATATGGTTCTAGGCTGCTTTACGCACGCCACCATTGTGGAGAGTGCTCTCTGTTTCCTTTCGAGAGTTTCTGCATGTTTGAGCTTCCCGAGTGCGTAAAGATGGGCGGACCCGGCAGCCAGGACCGCTGGAAGAAGGATGGAATTTTCCTTCCAGACAAAGGCAAGATATGGTTGGCGTATGGTAGCGTATTCTTCAGGGTTGGGATATACAAGATCCGGCAAAGAGTCGGCCCAGTGTCTGAAAATGAAGGCATCTGACGACGAATGAAGTTTCGGGCCCACTGACAGACTGCGTGTTACGGATGTCGGGGGGATAGCTTTTTTCCTACACGCGGCCGACTTTTTTGATGGACAAATCGTCAAAGAACTTCGGGGTTTGATGACGCTCTTGCTTGCAGATTGGCTATCCGGGCTGATATCGCTGATCTCAACCCATTTCAGATGTATCTGGTATCCGACACACTCGACACCACGACGCTCGCACTGCTTGCAGAACGGGCGCGCCTCGTCACACTTGATACGGGCTGTTCGACATGTCCCGCATCCTGTGTTAAGAGCAGAGAAAAGTTAGATCCTACGCCAAGAGACGGTAGAAAGAGCCAAGCGCGATGAGACTTCGACGCGTTTGTCAGCCTCGTCGAGTGCGGGTTGACGAACCGTTGCGAGAGCGCCTGTGAGCTTGAGCAGCCATTGAAATCCGCCCGGCATTAGCCGATTTGTGAGGTGAGGTGAGGTTTTGTGCTACGTGTGATGTTGATAGAAACTTCCCTCCCCCCAGACCAAATTGCATGTGATTTGAGTTCGTGATTCCGGTGGGATGAGATGCTACAGGTCGTTGAACTCAATCTGAGTGGTTTGTGCTGATGCAGAATTGTAGATGAGAAGAGAAACGCGACTAGCCATGACCAGATTAGGAAAAAAGAACGACTCCTTACTCGCCAAGATGGCGAGGTGTCTTGGTTTTATGTGCTCCGCTTTCATCCGGTTCCGACGACAAAGCGGCAAGTGGAGACCGCTATGAGGTTGTAACCAATAGCAACTACGTAACCGAGTCAGCAATGCCGTCGATGTTGTCACTAAAACATAACCATGACCTTGAAGATTTGGTGACATCTTGGCTTGTGCTGAGTTGACTTTTCTGTATTTTTGGTTACATTCTCTAGCTGTGGCCTCAGTTTGTCCCGAGTTGTCGGGTTATTTTACGATACAGTTCAGACCTTGCCAAGCTTCTATCCACATGGCTGGGGCACATTTGGTACCCTAAAGATCTAGACTTTCTAATGCAGCATGGGAAGGTCAGACCTAGTCAGGGTGGGGTTTTACCAACTACGGAGTGGATTCGAAGAGATCGCTGCCTTCGTGAGGACTTGAGCGGGCTTTCAACGTTGTAATGAAGACGTCGATTCTGAGAAAGTTCAGATCTGAGTAATACGTGTTGCCTCGTGGATTCATGGAGGAATGAGGAGGCGCTTACAGTTTGAACCAAGAAACTAGCGGTATCTGCCAGAGCGCTAATTCGCCCCACAAAAGATGCCTGGCACGAGCTTCCATCATGGTATCAAATCGTCAACTTCAAAGATGTACAATAAAATGTCATCGACTGCTAACCCAGCCAATCGAATTTAAGGAACATTCAGAATGTTACTGAGTACAGCTATCTTGAATGGAACAGAATTGACATTCACAGCGTGCGCTATGATAATCCATACAAATAGCGTAAGTCGTAAACTGCAACCACCAAGGTGAATCGGATCCTGGTTTCTGGGCATATGCAAAGTTGTGACATTTCTATCGTTTGTGATATTATTTGCCTATCAGAATCATTCCATTTAATTGCACCAACTCACAGGCGAATCCTTCAAAGAGACTGCATTGGATATGAATCCCATGAGAGTGCTGACATGGTAAACTAAAATCTGACAGGCTGATTCTAGAGGTTGACATTGGTTGGATGCAAATAGTCCCTTGTTGGGCTTCAAACACATTCGACTTCGCCATGCTGATCAATATCATTATCACCATAGTACTTATTGACGTTTCCCCCCGCAATGCACAATTCATCTTTGGTCGCGTACTCACCACCACCATTTCTCAACCCCCATTATGGACCGCGCGAATCTCATCGCAACACTCGCCGCAGCGAGACAAACCCCCAAACGACCTATCGTAACCCTCGCAAACTGCGACAACGCATGGCTCATCTCTATCCCCAGACCTGCAGGGGCGACCGGTAAAAAGGTCTTTTACCATATCTTGCAAGACCCTTGGCTCTTTGGCGTCAGCGACATGCTCATTAGCTACTTCTTGCGGATGTCGCTCAAGGAAAAATCGGTGCTAGAAACCATCGAATCCTGCGAAGATTTAGTTCGAGAGATTGAGGAGGCAGTCGGGGGCTCCAAGGAAGACGACGAGCACTGGCTCGATGCGGTGACCGTCACCCATACCAATCCGGATCACCTGCACCAACCGACGCTACGAACCTTTGATCCATCACTCAAAGTCCTTGCCGTAGAGGACGCCGCCACCACGATCTCTGCAATGAAGCACTTTCACAACGTCCACGTTCTTCCGGACTTTGTACGTGGCCAGGCGTGGCCCGCTACGCCAGAGATGCCCGAGTGGCTGTCCATCTTCCGGCTTGAAGACGAGACCAAGAAGTACCCGAACCTTTACCATGCCATCGTCATCAAAATTGCAGCTGCGAATGGAAAAGACGAAGTCATTTTGTACAGTCCTCACGGAGTTGATCCCGGTATCGTCGAAGCCGCCATGGAGATGAACCCCGACGCGAAGGTTATTGCAATGACGCACCCAATCAACGAGGCTGGCGTTGGACTCAAGTCCAAGGGGGTAGCCAATGCTCTGAAAATTCAGCGGAAGCATTCGCCAAAGTATTGGATTCATTGCCAAGAAGGCATACAGTATACCGGGTTCTTGACCTGGTTCTTCGACTATGGAGACAAGACGTTGGAAATAGGCCTGGAGGAAGAGGCCAGGGAAACCGAGGAGGAGCTGCCTAGGCCCAACTACGTGACTATCTCGAACGGCGCAGGGTTTGTTCTGGCATAGTTAGGGATATGCGAATGAAGTAGGCATGGAGTCAAATCTGTCGTCCTCTGTTTGAAGCTTCATCACGCACCCAACTACTTTATATCTGCATTTCTAAATAAGCCAACGGAAGCACAAGTGACTTAAAAAGTGAATGCATAATAGGAAAAAGCAAAATCGGCACACGATAGCCTCAAAAGCAAAAAGAACTCCTCGACGGGGAATTGAACCCCGGTCCCCTGCGAATCGTGGGATTTCCCCGGTGACAAGCAGATATCCTCACCACTAGACTATCGGGGATTGGTGGATGTTGACATCCAGTGATAGTTGGTTGGGTGGGGAGGCGCCTAGCAAACCTATAGATCTACGTCCGTGCTTGGTAGAGTGGAGGTGCCAGAAGCCCTCAGCCAACATCAACTGAAAGCCCCAAATTGTCGTCAATAGAGCTAGAACGCAGTACGATTCAGAGACTTTGTAACGACCTTCAATAGTCTGTTGCAAGAGCAGCGCGAACACGAGAAGTTGCCATGGCTAGTGTTGAATTTGTAAGGCGACGATCTCAACACGCGGGCAGCGCACGGTAAGGTAAAGTGCCGCACTCCCTAATAATCTCGTGAGAAGCCGGCAGCATCCATCCCTAATTCACCCACCGTCGCATGGTTGAAACCAGGTCACGGCATACATAAAAGATGACAACATGCAAGAATCACCGGCAGGATCAGGATCGCATGGGTGGAACAACGGGAGAGAGGACGCAGCCCTACCTGTAGCACAGTTAATGACCTTTGGTCCTCATTGGAGAATTGTTAGCACCGGTAGTGACACCACCACAGTGGCGCAAGGTCTCTAAGAAGTCATCTCAGTGAAGAGCACTAAACCAAAGAGAAGCTCAAGTGCTGACTGTGCCACGACAGATCTGCACTCAAGTTCCCCTGACATCATTTGGCATTCCCAGCCTTGAGCATAGCCGCTTCGAAACTTGGCTGCCTGATGGGGTGCAAGTTAAGCATTTCGCTAATTCATAAGCGCGACAACTGCCGCCGCGGAATGAAGCTCAACGCCATGTACTCCCAAGACATTCGATCAAGTATCACACAATCATGAGCACGTCAGACGCCAACAGTGTCAATTCAGAATGCCATCAGCTGCAAGCCGGTCTGTCACCGGCCACCGCAGCTTTACGTGACTTCACTGCGGCCCATCCTGAAGCCGAAGCACAGCTCTCCCCCGTGCTAGAACAAGTCCTCTCACTCTCGGACAGCATCGTCGCACTTCGACGCAATGTAGCGAGTTGCGAAGGAGAGGACCAGCTCTTGAGCGAAATCCGATGCGTCCCGGCATTCTGCAATGAGGTTATCAGCCAGATCGTAGGGTCTGTCACTGACACGGGACCTGAGAAGTCCCGATGGTCGCTGTCTCGGCGCGGTGACGATGCGTGGAGGAGTGCAGCCAGCCGCGCCTCGGCCCTCAACTCACATTTGACCACGGGCAGGAGGACAATGGGCCTGGCGGTTGATGCATTAGACCTGTAAGCTTGCCCACTCAGTTGCTTACGAGATGTTGGTGAGGTACTGAGACACAGCAGGGTCCGACATCTTCAAAGAGCAGAGGAGGCCGGCGAGTCCCCTCCATATGCTACCAGCGCGATCCTCCAGGAGATCAACTCCATCAAGGAGATCTTGAACCGGCAACCCGCATCAGACCAGAGCATATCGCCACAGAAGCTCGCCAGGTTCCTCAACTTCCTCCGGACCTTCGTAGACAACCAGTCGACCACGGTTCCGGCATCAGACATGGCGAGACTTTCCGTCACCGCCGACAACGCCGGCTCTTCAACCTACTCCATGTCCGCCGCACCAAGCGTAGACGGAGACGTGAACCCATACCCGACTCTCCTCGCACCAGCTCCCGCCCACGCCACATTCCGTCACGTCGGCAAGATCACCATGAACCTGGAAAAGGAACCTGTCGACATCCGCTTCACCTCCGCAACAGACCCGACGTCCTTCGCCGTCTCCAACTTCTTCAAAGACATCAGTCTCTTCGACGCCGCCTCAGGAGAGCGCAGGCGCACCATCAAAGTGAAAGGCGTGAACATGGTCTTCTCCCCGCTGATGGACCTCGTCGCCGTAACGACGGAGCATCACGATGAATACGTCAACCGGTTCCCTAAGCCGATTCTAACCTCACACGATATGGTCCACTTCGAGAGGCCGGCCCTGTACGTCGTCGAATGGGTCAACGACAACAGCCCCAATGCGCGCAAGTTCATCCTGCAATGGCATGGCATCCGCGCCTTTTCCTTTAGCCCCGACGGCCAGCTTCTGGCAATCAAGGGAGTGCGCAATCGTGTCGAGATCGTCACGGCCGCCAAAGGGCAGGGGTACAGCGTCATCCGCAGCCACACTGATGAAGTCACGCACGCGGAGTGGACGGCGGACTGCACCAGGCTCGTCACCGCGTCCAAGGACGGGACGCTGAGGATCACGAATGTCGAAACTGGCCGGAACATTGCCAAGATCGAGATGGAGGACTGGAGGAACCCGCTCCGGCTTGCTGTGAGCCCGGCGGGAGTGATTGCATCGATTTGGGGCAGGACGGTGACGATATGGGACCCTGAGAGCGGCGCGATGAACAGCTACAACCTTGAGACGGCAAAGGGGAGCGAGGGCGTCCCGTTGGCGATCTCACCTGACCTGCGGTGGGTTGTGTACCGGTCAGACGATGGTGCTGATGCCACGGATCTGGCGACTGGAAAGGTGGTCTACTCAGCGAGGTTAGAGTCTGGGTTCGCGGTGTCGGCTGCCTTCTCTGGGAACGGGCAGTACATGGTGGTTGGGCGGTGTTTGCATGGGCACCATGCCAGAAATGATTCTGGCATTCTCAACGTGTGGGAAATTCAGACTTGACGTGATATTATGAGCAAACGAGATACCTTTAGTCGTACGAAGTTAGGTCATTCATATGAGTAGAACCACTCAGGCTTAGAACCGAGCTTGAATGCCATGTGCAGCTTTACACAAGCAGCTTTCGTCTGCAGTATGTCTATTCATTTCCCTCGAGCGTCAGAGGCTTTACACATTCGATATGAGCTACCTAACAAACTGAGGCTCTGTTCGCAGTCCAACGGAAGAGAACATGAGGCATCGATGGCGCATCGTTGCACTACCAGCCCTTTCCACCAGGATAGTCCTCAGTGACAGCGACATCGCGCTTCCAGGGCTTTCCACCTGGGGAGCCACCAGCGCCGTCAACGACAGCGTCATCGCGCTTCCAGGGCTTTCCACCTGGGGAGCCACCAGCGCCGTCAACGACAGCGTTGTCGGCTACCTATACGTTGACTACGTGTTAGACACAGGCACTATGAACTCAGATGACGGCCAGAGGGGAAACGGACCGGCGCGGCCATGGCCAGTGATACAATAGCGGCAAGGGCGAGCAAGTTGAACTTCATTTTGCCGGCTTCGATGTTGCAAAGCAGAGTGAGATAGTTGTAGTGGTTGTTCAAGTTGCCCGGATGGTTGAAGATGATACGAAATTCGGTGACAGAGTAAGCAGGCTCAAGTAGCCTTCTTTTATACTCATTTTCGGCGACGGTTTGTCTTCAGCGATGCTGAAACCTTGAATTATCTGAAGCCATCGTCAATCTCCACGTAACATCGAGACCGGCGGAGTTCCACCTCGAAGCTCGAACAGCTCACTCAGCACCCTGAATCCTCTGCTTTATAGAAGATTCACCTTCCAGATGCGGATGCCCTTGCCTTACTGAGCATAGTATAAGCTGATTGAGTCGGCTCGACCCGACGCACCTACGGGTCACGTTCATCTCTGAAGTGTGAGCCTCGGCGGCTAGACTCCCTTCACAATGAGACAGGAGCACGCCATTGTGGTGGAAAGGCATCCAATTCGATGAATTTTGCTGCATATGCTTATTCACGCTCGCTAGCTCAGATGAAATCAAGAGTAATCAAGGTAGTAGCGAAGAGCGGAACTACGCCTCGGTCTTCAGAGGCTTCTGTCCCCAGACTGCTCTCTGGCGGTAGTACCCATGCAGCTTACCAGACCGGATCTCGCGACGCAGCTGCGCCGCATAGATGTGGATTTCCTCACGGGACCAAGTCGACATGACGTTGGCCATGAAAAGAACGTAGCCCTCAATGTCCGACAGGAGCGTCAGCTGAGCCCACTCGCCAATCTCCTTCTTCACCTCGTCCTTTGGCCAGTTGCCGATGGGTGCCTATCATTTCCCATGTTAGTCTTTCCTCTGATGCCGAAAGCGCAGGTCATCCTTCAAAGGGCTCTCATCTACCTTATTGTTCCACTCCGTGATGCTCTCAAAGCCAGCGTCCTCCATCGACGTCCTCTGCAAGTTCTCGTCGAGGACCCGGAACGTCCGACCCATTTTCCGGCCGCCCTCCTCGAAGAACTTACCCCACTGGCCCAGCGCGCTGGTCTCCGGGACGGTCCCGTCGTCGCTCATAATGGCCGGCGAGACCTCGAAACTCTCCAGGTATCCGCCCGGCTTCAGGGCCCTGTACGCCTGCTTGAACAGCGCGGGCCAGTCCGCGATGCTGCCGACCAGGAAACGGATGTGAACATAGTCAAAGGACTCTGGTTCGAAGGTCCATTCGCGCGTGCAGTCGTCAATTTCACTGTGTGGGGTCATCAACGGCACCAGCTGCTGGATCTTGACGCTTCCAGTACTCACAACTTCAGGTTAGGAGGAACCCAGCTAGGTTGGATTGGGGAGATGTCCGTTCCAATGACTTCACATTCGGGGTTCTCGTCGGCAAAATCACTATACAGAGTTCAGCCTCTTGCATCACATAGTCATGCCGAATTTCTGAGCAGGGACTTACATAGCCCAGATACCTACGATGCCGTTAGCCTGACTTCATGAGCCGAGAATGACATAAGCGCCGCTCACCTGTTCCTGTCCCAATATCCAGCGCTTTGTTTAGCTATTTAGGGTTTCGTTAGTTCAGGCCGATGAGCAAGCCACCGCCGATGAGCCCGTCACCTACCTTGCTTTTGTCTAGCGGTGCCAAGTGAAGCTTGTCGCCCATCGACAAGGTGAGTAAGTGATGGCTAATGACCGTCAGCCTCGATCTCTCACTTCTTTCGTCATTGGCGGTCTCCATCTCACTTGATATCCCAAGCCTCATTCTGTTGCTCATCGTTGCTCCCCCTTTAACAATCCGTTAGCGACAACGCCCAAAACGCTCAGTCCTCCCAGCCCGCGGGGGTCACTACCAATACTGGGCGTCGCCAACCTCGCCGTGGAACGTCCTCCCGTGAATCTTCCGGTACTGCAAAATCGTAGAGGTGATCGACGCCGTAGAGCTGGCGTTGTCGTCGCCTAGCGCAGAGTCGGCATCGTCGTCGTTAGCAGCGTCCTAGCGGCCTGTCAATCATCAAAATCCCGCGGGCGGCCGCCGTTGAAAGGGGGGGCATGTAGAGAATCTACGCCCCCGCGGTGGAAAAAGGTGTCGAACTGACTCGTGCCGCTTGCACCCAGTGCTCAGCCGGTAGAATTCCAGCCGCTGCGTTCGCCGCAGTCTCCTGCTGCTGCGCCGTGGCCGCGGCCGTCTGGTCCTCGTCTCCCTCGGGACACATTTGTCGGATGGTATCGGGGGGTTTGCACTCGCGATGTGAAGCTGTACACTAGTCGTGTCGTCGCAGGGTTTCCTGTTGCTGTTCCCAGATTCCGGGTTACTGTTGCTCGAATCCCGGGAGGAAAGGGAGAGAGTGTGTAATTCTGAGACTGAGAAATCGAATTGCTTAAGCGGCAGCGGGAGAGGGTGGAAACTTGCCCGCCACGAGTCACGACAAAATCCCCGGTCCCTGTTCCCCTGCTTCAATGAGCTCGGAAAACCCCACAGCGGCCGGGCAAAGCGCCTGGTCGTGGACGTGCGCACGCCTTGTCGCCTCCAATTCTTTGGGTGATCAGTCAATTTTCCCTTCACCGCATCAACACCATCCCTATCCCCGGGCGGGGACAGCGGGCGGATTGGATATGGTCTTCTGCTTCGCTTCTCTTCTCCAACCCGTTGGAGTCTTGGAGAGCATCTCCTCATCTGCCGGTTGTCAGCTTCATGTCAGCTCCGCCCGAATTTTGCAGCTTTAAGCTGTGCCATGGCTCATGGTAACGTGTCAAGCGATGCGCCAAGGCCGCTGACCAAAGGTGTAAAATGCTACCATGTTCGGCCCTCATCACCAGAAACGACCGGAAGAGGGGCCGGGGATCGTCAGCGGGTAGGCCAACCAGCTGAGGACTCGCGGCATTTGCCAGTGGATCTCGCATGCAAGGACCTGCAAGGAATAGCACTCATTAATGATCAAGAACCTGGGTCGCCGCGTGCTCAATGGTGACTGCTGTGACCTTGACAGCATGTACATGTGTTGTACGGAGTCGGCCGCTCAAGACCAGGAACGAGGGGTGGCCGACGGGGCCCTAGACTTCTTCAAGAAAGCATCATCTCATTTGCTAGGCACAGATAATAAGGATATCTCTCCGGCTCTAATACGACGCATTCAGTCGCATCTCGATGTACTCGCGGCTGTTTATCGGCTCGTACTTCTTCGGCTTACCGGGGCCGTAGCAACCCGGCACGCAGTCTACCGTCTTCTCCTGATCAGCGCCGATAAAGTACGGAATTGAATATCGTGCCCGGGTCACGCGGTCACCGCTCTCGTTCGTCTCGAGCGGCGGCGCTCGTACACGATGCACAGTGGACCGCAGAGTGTCGTTGCTCCACCGCTGCATGAAGTCGCCAATGTTGACCACGATCGTCCCAGGGATGGACGACACGGGCAAGAATCGGCCCTCCTCGTTGGGGTCCTCTACCTCGAGGCCGCCGACCTCGTCCTGGAAGAGGAGCGTCATGGAGCCAAAGTCCGAGTGCGCTCCCAGCCGCTCGACCCTGCCGGCGCGCAAGAGCTTCTCCTCGACCGGCGGATAATGGAGGAGGCGGATCTGGTTGTCTTTCATCACATGGTAGTCCCGAAAGAAATCTTCGTCCAGGCCCATGCCGAGAGCCATAGCACAGAGCAGGTGGAGTTCGAGCTGATAGCAGACCTCGTAGAAGTTATTGAAAAATGACCGAAACCCAGGGAGCGACTCCTCGGGGAGCCAGATGTTGGGCAGGTGATCATCGTCCTCGCGCCCAATCTCGTATGATTCCTTGAAGTCTGGGATTTTCCTCAACTCGCTGATTTCTTCGGCGTCAAATACCATCTGCGACACCTTTTCTCGGCCAATGCCGGAGTACCCGCGATGCCACCATCCCTCGGGTGGATGCGGCGCCTTGTCCTTCTCAGCCTGCGGGAGGGAAAAGAATATCTCACTCTAATCATGGAATTATCAGCAAGGACAGCGATGAAGAGAAAGTTCGTTCTTGTAGACGAACCCACTGGAAGGCGGACTTGATGATTTCCTCGGGGATTCCATGGTTCTTGACATAGGCAAAGCCCGATATTCTGAAAGCGTCTACAAGACTCTTGCCGGCATTCAGTGCTGCTTCAGGGTTGGTGCTGTCTTTCAGGGCACCCAGGTCAACGAGTGGAATGTTAGACCCCCCACCTGTTCGGGCAACAGAGGCTTCCTCGACGACCGACGGTGAATGAGGCATTGTCAATTCAGCTCTGTTTCATGGAGTGACGGAGTGACAATTGCGAGGAATTTGGATAATTTACACACTTGAGCATCGATAAGATATGTTCCCCGCCTTCTGCAGGATGACGGAATGACGTAGATCGGCACACGAGGTTATTCACATGCGAACTGACGCACCGTGCATGCTATGCATCCAGTCAGCAAATTGACCAAACACGCCAGACTAGCTCTTGACTTTGACTTTGAGTTATACATCTTTCAACGTCTACTCTATTAGTCATCCATATGATTGGTGTTCTTAATTTCATCATGGAGCTAAGCTTATCGTATTACAAATTCCCCAGCGTCAATGTTTGCCCACTGTCATTTAAAACACTAAACGACTATGTTGGCTTCTCTACTATTCCAAATATGTACAGAAGAATTTTTGAACTCTATAGACATGGCAGGTGACATTGTTACGGGTCTAATACAAAGGCGCAAGGTTGATGATGGCTAGACGCCTGTGCTGGTTCATCGCCTCATCTAGCACCTACATGCAGGGCGCTCCAAGACCGAGCCCTGCGGTAAGGTTCAAGGGAGCATTTCCAAACACCGAGGTTGCTAACCAGTTTCCAACATAGTTCTCAACCTCGAGAGGCTTCTGCCACCTTGCCCAATGCCCGCCGTCAATCTCACCTCGGCTCAAGTTGTCAAAGTACGTTTTCATTCCTTCGGATAGAGACGGAGGCAGCGTGAGATCCTGGGTTGCAGCGATGTACAGCGCAGGTTGCTTGAACTTGCCGCTGTAAGTGGTATTGTCAGGGATAAGCACCCGCTCATCTTCCCAATTCAGGTTGTTGTTACGGTATTCGTTGAGCGTGTGATTAATTGGCTTTCTGGTGTATTCTTCGACATAAAAGTCAATCTGCGCCTTGGTGAGAAGCGGCGTGTCTGTAGTCACAAGGTCGAGCAGATCATAGTAGAATCCGATGTCTGTGACGTTGCTGGGTTGCTCGCCATTGGGGCCAATCACACCGTAGACGTTGTTCAGGATTTGTCGAATGCGCGTTGTGTTCTGGGCATCAGCCGGCCCGACATAGTCCGCAACGGCATCTGTACGGAATTGCTGCTGGTATTTAAATCCAGGCCAATCGTATGCGAGGTCCACAAAGGAGGCCGTGGGAGCTGCGAAAGGCGTGTTGAGCACGTAGAAGGCGGCTACGAGGTCTGGATGCCAGATGGCGGTCCGATAAACCACTGCTCCACCAAAGTCGTGTCCACCGAGGATGATACGAGAGAGACCAAGTTGGCTTGCGAGTGTGGCGATGTCGTCTGCAGCGCGCTTCCAGGTACTATTTAGGTTAAAAATGATCAGTTTCCGCAGACTCTAACCGATCCAACCTCTGGTTGACTCCTTAACGCGTCGTAACTTAGTAAAACTTGACATCCTCGGGTGAATCAGTTCCACCATATCCAATCTTGTCCAAAGCGACGACGCTCAGGCCCTTGGAGAGGAGGAAGGGAATATGGTTGGCCCAGCCCAAGGCCAAATCAGGCCATCCGTGGACGAGGAAAACAGTACCAACAGACTTTCCCGAATCAGGCTCTGCATGGATATATCTGTATTGAATACCGTTGAATCGGCCGTTTTGAAATGGAGCCTGGAGTCGAGAGTAGCAAGAACGTCCATCTTGTGAGACTTTGTTGGTCTATTATGACTGAAGGTTGATCAGGGTGAGGTTAGAACTGGAATCGGTGATAGTGCTTGATTCAAATGTTCTGTTTCGCGAGATGATGATCGATATTTATAAACTCGGTCTTCCGTGAGAGGAATCGACTCTCCCAGTGCAAGACTGTGTAAGCTACCAAGTGAAAGCGCCATGTCATAATGATACGGTACAGTCGCCATCTTAGAGTCCGTATGGCCAGGCCCTGAGCCCGCTTAGTGAGCTACTCGAATTCGTCCGAACTCCCGGGAGCCCCCCGTTAGGACCTGTCATCAGTGAATCCCTGCAAGGTGGTATGAAGATGATAGAAATATTGAAGTCGATTAGAAATGCATGCGAGATCGCGAGAAGCATCCCCGGCGACGTGAGCCTGTCTAGATCTCCTCACAAGACAACGTACACTCCTGGTAGTTGTGATGTCCCATTATGAGAGAACAAAAATTGTGTTCAATCTTAACTAAAATTCCATTCTATTTACTAATTTTCATCGATCTTTTTTCGGGTCTTTGCAGGTTGTTCACAACTTGAGCGTCTAGTCTTCTTCACCGAGCTCGATCTTAAGTCAAGTCTGATTAGTATCGACTCGCATCATTCTGGAGTCATCCCGACCGATTTATGGAGACTCACAAGGTTACTAATGCATATATGCCGCTGTTGATGCCCTTCTACAAGGTTGTGGGCACGGCGGCTGCAGCTTCGTTTCCCCGTATGTGCTCACTGAGCAGAATCTGATTAGTATAGATACACTATTTTAAATTACCCCGGCGGATGTGCGGTAAAATGTCTGGATGGTAAGCTGTTTTCCTCTTTTTCTTTCGGAATCCGAGTCAGTATTAAGATCCACGATCGTCATTGGAACAGCCAGCGATTTTCCCGCAAGCATTGAAAGCACGGGGCTTTGATTAGTATTCATTTCCAGATGAACCAACCTGATTTTAGGCCCCTGTATAGTTTGGGTTGGGACCTATTCAATGACCTCTAAATTCTCCCAATTTTACTCTACGTTTTCATGAGATATCTCGCGCCTGATATAAGGAAAGACCTTTTTTGAGATCACACTTCATGGTGCGGGGCATCACGGTCAAAATAATGAGAACCGAAGCCCGAAGACAGAGATGACGATGTGCCAGCTGCATTTTTCATTGCTCAAATCATCTATTCACGACAGTCTCATCTAAATTCGGGGGTGATTATGACTCTGGCAATGTGGCATGGTACATGGTGTTGTTGAAGTTGTCGTTACACCTGCCCCACAGACTTTTGTTGTTCTCACCGAAGGGCCAGGGTAGGTGATTGTTGATGAGATGTTGAACTGATTTACCTCATTTGCTTTTGAAAGCTCAAATATAAATCGCTGATCATTACACGTTAGAGACGTTCCTTCTTCATCAGACAGCAATATCAGACCCCTATTTCCCATACGCTCGCGCCCAGTCCTGTCTCTCCAAATCATCCCTGCTCTCCTCATCGGTCATTTCAAGAGTATACTGTGTGTCGTTATCACACGTTGTCGAACTGCCCCCGAAGTCTCTCAGCTTGACTGCATGTGGCTTCTGTGGAGAGTTGCTAGGCGATGGCTGGGTGCTCGATTCATGTGAGGCATGGGAATGATGCGATTTCTGAATCGCTGTCGTAGACCGTGCTTGCGACTTTCTTCGGTGCGTTCCGGTTTGTATTGTCGATTTGATAGTGGTGAAAAATACTGGCAGCTTCTTGAAAAGAGGTCGTAGTGCCGGGAGACTACCGCAGATGATTGCTAGGTTGAGCTCGACGGATGACCATAGCACGACGTCGACGTTATCCCCTAGAGCGGCTATTAGCATCAATCTCATACGAAGATGACCGGGAGACCTTACAAGTAGAGTCAAATGAATTAGCGAATGAGACCAAGTATTTAAGTCGGATCATACTCGCGACGCAAGCACTGCAATCCTGAGTTAACATTTGCAAAGCCGCTTCAATGGTTGGCACGTCACTTACAAGGATCCAATAGCAAACATGCAAACCAATGCCATTCGCTTCTTCTTTCCCAGTTGAAGCTTAATCAGTTCTGGAATAGGGATGACAATCAAGATAATATCCTCCAGGATACTGCAAGCAGCGCCTCCGTAACTGATAGCCGAAACATTGAGGCAACGACCTTGGATAGATCGATCCCAGATCGACTCAATAGGTAGGCATTGAAATACCATCAACAGCAGAAACATGAAGCCGTGGATGAACAGAAACACCATGAGGATTTTGACTGCCAGGCGGAACTTCTGATTGGTGAACACGCGGGAGTAGAAGCAGGCAATGGAGGCTTTGGCAAAGACTCTAGTGTACAATTAGCGATAGTCCTTTACTACCTCGATCGTGTCTCGATGCACATACTGAACAAAGATGTAAAGCATCTGCAATACATAGAAAATCTGAAGGGAGTCTCAGTTAGCTAGCCAAGACTCGTAATGTGCCGTGCGTTGTCGTACCTGCAAAATAGTCTTGCCATTTCCCGGGTCAATATCCCAATAGTGAAGTCCGAATCCCATTGCAGCATCTAATGTGCAGCTGAAGTCAGCACTAGACACCCAGTTGCTTGAGCCACGAAGGAAAGTGCATACTTGTGTAGCCAAGGCCGGACATGACTATCAAAAATGCCTGCCACCGTCAGTGAGTCAGTTGCTACGAATGAACCATCACCAGGAACCTTACCAAAGCGATCAGTGCCGTCCAGTCGTCCCACCACAGTCGGTTCGTGACCTGTAATCGGGCCAGGCATCGGAGAGCTACCGTGAGGATCGTGATAACGGGTAGGCCAATGGAGAAAACCTTGGAGAATTTTCTGCGGTCAGGGTAAGGATAGCCCTCACATAACTGCTGTGAGATACGGGCGGTGGCTTCAAAGCAATGTCAGTGAGATTGGAGTCATGACGACGCCTTAGGTACCACCACTCACAAACTTGACCATCGAACTCGCAAGCTTGCTGTATACATGCGGAGGCGCGGGCTTGCAGAGGGATGTTGGTGCACACGCAGTCCGTCAAGCCGTCGAGGGTACAATTGCCAGAATGGAACGCATCGACGAAGCATGGCATCTAGGAAATAAGTCAAGTCAGTGAGTGTAACTAAGTGCTGACTCAAAATCATGAGATGGCTGTGAAACACCACGACTGAGACTGTGAGAGTGACTTACCGCACATTTTGGCGTCGTCGCGAGTAGCTTTGTGATCTCAGTCGTGTTCAATTGAGACACCGTTGCCTGTGCCGTCGCAGCAAACAGCAGGACGATTGCGACCCGCATGATTTGCTTCATTCTCAAAAACGATGCGACGGCATGCGATGTGTGGTTGATGCCGATCGTTGCATGGGCGTACAGATGTCACAACGGCGAAAGAAACCCCCATCAACAAGGCCGGGCCCATGCGGGATGAGGGAGACATCCTGTATATGAACTGGGCATTACATGTCGGCGACCGGAGTTTCGTTCATGAGACCAAATCCATAGGGCAAGATCGCCACTCAGCCGCCACTACGAAACAATGGCTTGCGATGGACGAAAGCGGCACACTTTGGGATGGCCTCGACGTCGCGGAGACGGGGAAGCGCTCCCAGCTCTCGTCGCTAACGTCTGGGCGACTTGACTTGCGGATTATGCATCCAGCCCAATTGCTTTGGCGAGAGCGCCACGGGGCTTACTGCTCACATCACCATGTGCGGCTACCCGGCTTCTTTCAAAGCGACGTATAATAGGTGGATGACAGCGCTTGCTTGATGTCTCTCGCTTATGGGATGACGAGCAGCAACGGTGACAGGCTGCTTGCGTGCGTCCGCTGTGCTCAAGTTATAGTACGCATTACTCTGAGTTTCTTCTTCCAAGCGCTATCACATCAACAAATGTGACGAATGAAGATCCTCGATGGTAGAGATGAAGTTGGCTGAATCACTCCATGCGAGCCGCATCATCAACAGCCCGATTCTTGGGATCTTGATGGCTTTCCCGCCGGTGGTATCCTTCACTGCATTGGGGCCGTTACAGTCGTGAGATGCTCACACGCTGTACTGCAATAGGCTTGGGGCGGACACCGGGTTTCTTTGGCAGTAAAGGTGGTGCTAACCAAGATCAGACTTTAGTGAGCCAGGTTTCTGCGGGGAGTCGGGGGACAGGGCAGAATGAAAGGCCGGGCTCGCATATTGCATGCCCAACCGCAACTCAGCTGGGCGGACGGTTGAGCAGAACGAACAAAAGATTTGCTCAGGGGTGGCCTGATTCATGTCTATACGGATTCAATGGGACCATGAACCCCCTCGCTTGTTTATGTTTGAATAATGTGAGGCGCAGGTTTGCGAGACTCGACCGGTTCATCCAACATGTCATCGATCGTACCTTGAGGATGGACACATGGGAGATGCATGAACCAAAGAAATAAGGCTAACTGAGAGCTTTGACAACACCCCGCGGAACGCGTATAAGGTCATCCCCGGACGAACTAGGCCAGCCATGAAGATATCTGGCCATGTTTTACGTTTTTCCCATTCAGAATTTGGACCGATGTCTCCCTCCAAGGCCTCTCCAAGGCTGAGCTATCCCCCGCATAACCAGGACCGTCCGTCTGCCCTCGTGCTCGGCGCTCCGAAGTGCATCGGATAGCTTTCCCGATTCAAGACATCCTACAGCGCAATCTCATTTAAAGCAGCCCCCGCAACAGTCATGCCAAGTTCGCGCCCGCCGTGACTGCGACGCTGGCCCCTGGCGTCCTCCTCACCTTAATCGGCCTCCCGCTCGTGTTCCCACATGACCAGCATCATTCTCAGATTCTCTCCCGTGCTCGTACCAGGGGGGCAACCTCCACGTCCTTCCCTAATCGTTCCTTCGGCCGACGATGGTAGGCTGAGTGAACCACGAGAAGGGCGATTCTGGGACCTTGAGTGGGAAGGTTGCCATACATAGCATCACCTACATCGATCACCGTCACATAGGAAAGAAGCAGGTCACATCCGAGATGGGGAGGGTACATGACGGACAGCGACATGTCTAATCAAATGCAAGGGGCGTTGCGACTTTTTCCCATGTCGCGATCAGGCGCATCGCGTCGAGGAGGACAAGTGAGGTTTCTTGGACCAAGTTCTTAAGGGGAATGTGCGCCGCTCCTGGAGAGAGACTGACTTTCTGACGACGGTCGTTCCTTTTTGAGTTGCTTGGTGCTGCGACCTCTGCAAGAACCAGTTGGAAAGCCTCCAATCTCATCCAAGATGCGTTGGTGTCTCCATGTCACAAACGTGTTGCTCGGCTACATCGTGGCCACGGCCTCTGCTGTGTGAGTTTGACCTACCCCAAACCTTAAGACGCGAGGTACGCAAAGTATGAATGTGGTTGGCTGACGCGGATACAACATTGATAGCCCGAGCCAGCACTTTGTCCCACGGCAATCTACCGACATCCTCGCGTCTTATGACTACGTCGTTGTCGGTTCCGGGCCGGGTGGTGGCCCACTTGCCGCCCGGCTCGCCATCGCCGGGAAGAAGGTCCTTCTCATCGACGCCGGCGACGACCAGGGAGACTCGATCCCGTACCAGGTCCCTGCGTTGAACCTTCAGTCGACAGAGTACGCCCCAATGAAATGGGACTACTACGTTCAACACTTTGCCGATCTCGAGGCCCAGAAGAAGGACTCCAAGATGACATACCGACTTGCGAACGGGGAGCTCTACGTCGGACTCAACCCACCGGCTGGCGCTGAGCCACTCGGCATCCTTTATCCTAGAGCTGGTACGCTGGGTGGTTGCGGCAGTCACAACGCGTTGATCACGGTCTACCCGCACAAGTCAGACTGGGATGGCATCGCGACCTTGACCGGAGACACCACCTGGGGCGCGTCCAACATGCGCAAGTACTTCCAGCGCCTAGAGAACGCCGAATACTTGCCCAATGGTATTGTAGGACACGGGTTCGACGGCTGGCTTACCACCTCCGTGACGGACCTTGGACTTGTCATCAAGGATGTCAAGCTCCTTACGGTTATTCTGTCCGCTGCTTCCGCCATGGGCAAGAGTCTCCTGGGATTGATCTTCTCGACGATCCAAGGTCTCGGCGAGGTTCTCCTTCGTGATCTCAACGTCGACCTGCCCAGCCGTGACTCTGCCGAGGGCCTCTACCAGGTCCCCATCTCTGTCAACAAGGGCGTCCGCAATGGACCGCGCGAATTCGTCCTGGACACGGCCAACGCGAAGAACGCAGATGGTTCTAGGAAGTATCACCTCGACATTAAGCTCACCACCCTCGTGACCAAGGTGCGCTTCGACCAGAGCGGCGCAAAGCCCCGGGCCGTGGGGGTAGACTTTGTTACGGGACAGAGCCTTTACCGCGCCGACCCCCGATCCGGCGCTGCTGGCTCTGGCGTCGCCGGATCCGTAAACGCCACGGCCGAAGTCATCATATCAGCCGGCGCCTTCAATACCCCGCAGCTGCTCAAGCTCAGTGGCGTTGGCCCCAAAGAGGAGCTATCCTCTTTCGGTATCCCTTCTATCGTCGATCTTCCTGGTGTTGGCACCAACTTGCAAGACCGTGAGTTTTCTCATTTGCTGCTGACGAATTGATCATTCAATGTAGAGCCGTTTGACTGATCATCACCACAACAGGTTACGAGACGTCCGTTATTGGCGAAACGCCGACAAACTTTCAGATCATCGAAGGCTGCACCTTCATTCGCCCTGGCACAGACGATCCCTGCTTGAAAAAATGGCAGGACGGCGCCGCGAGTGGTGATCGGGGGATTTATGGTTCCAACGGCATCAGCCTGGGTATCGTGAAGAAGTCGACCGTGGCAGAGGGAGACCCGGACCTCTTTATCGCAGGAGCACCAGTCGCCTTCCCTGGGTACTATCCCGGATACTCCGTCGATGGCACCGCGGATCAGAGACATTGGACGTGGATCACCCTCAAAGCCCACAGCCGCAACCGGGCCGGAACCGTCAAGCTGCGTTCAGCCGATCCGCGGGATATGCCGCAGATTGACTTCAACTCATTCCAGGACGAGGCAACGGGCGCTAAGGACATCCAGGCCGTGGTAGAGGGCATGAAGCTCTCACGCAAGATGTTCGAGAGCGTCGTGCCCCTCACGGGAGGCTTCACCGAGGTCTGGCCCGGGAAGAATGTCACCGATGCGGACTTGCCCGAGTTCGTCAGGAATGAAGCCTGGGGCCACCATGCCAGCTGCACGTGCCCCATTGGCAAAGACGGCGATGCCACTGCCGTCTTGGACTCAAAGTTCAAGGTGAGAGGGACTGAAGGTCTGCGGGTGGTGGACGCGAGCGTGTTCCCCAAGATTCCTGGGTATTACATCGCGTCGGCGGTGTACATGATTAGCGAGAAGGCGGCGGACGTAATTCTTGGAGTATAGATACCTTTATGCTCTATTTTCTTCTTTTTTTACTGTATTGTTACACATGGCGGGCGGGAAAAGCGCGCCGTAGGATTTTGAGGTGCGACCACGAAGGGTCTCTTGGGCGTTTCCGTACATACTTGGTACCTACCACATACTTGACGACGTTAGAACATTTCATGAATCTACCACACCACTGCTTCGGATTGAGTGCGATCTGCTGGCCCTGCGACGTTGGTAAAGGCAACGCTGGCTGAATACATGTAGCCATGGCTGGGTTGGGCAGGGGACCGAAGGGTTTGCAAGGATGGGATGAGGCGGCGAACGAAAGTAAGCCGCAATATCTGTACTCTGTCACCCTCCCTGTACAGTCCATTTCAATTCAGATGATAGACCCTTGGGAAAGAGTCAATGCGAAAAGGTTGCTGCCGTGCGACTGAGACCGCGAGGCGTCTCCCGAAGGCGCCTGTCTCAGTCCTTATATCGCACGAGCTGATCAGTGGATCCTTGGACATCCAGCACTGTTCTTAGGCTCGGCACAAGAACGGGTGTAGAACATGGAGGAGCCTGAACAACAAAGATTTCATTATTCTTCTTTTTCGTGGAGAGAGATGAGGAGAAGAACGTGGAGCGTTGCCGGGAGATGATACTCCGCAGTGAATTTAGCAGTTGACCATCCTCAAGACGATCATGATTCTTCAATGCGCATCTCCCGAGCAATAACCTACTGGAGTTGGGGGATAAGCCATGGAGAGGCGTAAAGCCGTACTTGGTAGTGCTACGCTATGAGAGGCGGCCTGTGGCACAAGGCCAAGGAAATCTTTCAGATGGCAGAGGCAAGAAAAAGGGGCAGGGACCATTCCACGTGGCAATTCGATAGAAGAGGACAGCCCAGCCCAAGATTAGTAACGGCAGCGAGATT